CTTCCGTCCTGACGAAGCTGGCTACGAAGAGCTCCGTCGCCTGTTCGACTACCTGCGGTCTGAGGGCCAGATCGGTCCCAAGTTCGCGGGTCAGAAGCAGCACGACTCCAATGAGCAGACAAACGGCCACACTGGCGGTGTTGAGATCTGCGTCATCGATGCAGACGATTTGCTGGACAACCCATCTGGCATGGTTGAAGCATTCTGCAAAACCACGGGAATCGAATGGGACCCAGACATGCTCGTATGGGACACAGAGAAGGACCAAGGTATTGCCAAGGAGGCGTTTGAGAAATGGAAGGGTTTCCATGAGGATGCTTTGGACAGTGATCGCTTGAGGGCGCGGACACATGTAAGTGAATATCCTAATTATGTGGGCAGAGTTGTGGACTGACGACCTGGCCAGAAGAAGGAACCTAAGTCAGACGAGCAGCTTTTCGCTGAGTGGAAGGAGAAGTACGGTGAAGAGGGCGCGAAGCAAATCCGGGACACCGTTGCTGCTAATGTTGAGCATTACGAGTACCTCAAGCAGTTTGCTATCAAGCTGTAGATATTTTTTCAAAGTCAGGAGTTGAGTACGACTGTTACATGTGTTCGATCACTACCAAAAAGAGATGGCAGATGGCAGATGGCAGAGCAGACAGCATGCAATATGCTAGAGGAGCAACAACGAATTTTCTTAGCATATTTAATTTGAAAATGATATGAATGTGTCATCTGTCCAATGAGACACACCTCATTATCATTCCTCTACTGCAATTACTAGACCGCCCCATGTTACAGCGATTGTCATTTGCTTATGTTCGGGTCATCAGCTGGCCCGCCGAACCTGCATGCGGTATGCGTGCTTACGCTTACAGTGCGCGTCTGGAACATTGAATTTTTTTAAACGTTGAGAAAAATGACATGATTGCGGTCTGAACAGCGTCTGTCGTAAGCTTTGTGCACTTGAGCGGGCTAGTCCGTGTCAATGTATTGAGCAAGTAGAAGGCTGGGTGGTGGATGGCGGAGTATTCTCCTGATGGTTACAGAAGCGGCCGCCTTGAGAGTGTGGCGAGGTTTCCAGAGCATCTCCTCATGGTTGCAGAAGTGGTCGCCCCATGGTGCTGGAGTTGGGCGATGACAAAGGACGTGTTTCGGATTGATGCGTCTCCGCGTGTTACCAAGCCCGAGGCACCGGACCATGGTGGTGTGGCGATGAAGCCTAGGGCACATCAGTAGGTAGCAGTTTTTGACAACTTTCAGAACATGGAAAGAATGACCAGACACGGAAGTAACAGTGATTGCAGATGTGATGATTTGGTATTTGACTCGATAGGCGATAGCAACACAGAGACCAAAATCTAGCCTGCCAAAATATGCCAAACAACTCCGTAACACATACATCGTTACAGTACAGCTTCCGAAATTCAAAGCGATGGATGAGCAAACATACAAAGGTATCAACCGCGGACCACGCAAAAACGCCAAGCCCAGAACACCGACGCTATCCATGTGCGTAGAGAATGCGTAGTTTTGTGTAAACAAGGTAGAAGATGTGCAGACTCGGTGAGAAGGTCATGTGCGCTGCAGTTGACCAAGCTCAATCTCTCTCCTCCGCTCCTCGCGGCTGACATTTCTCGAGTGGTTACTGATTCTTCCATCCGCACTCGACGGCCGATTTGTACTTCTTCCGCGGCCCTGCCATTGCTGCCATGCCTGGTGTTCACTCAGACTGTCAGGTCTACTGTCGGATCGATCGCGGTTCCAGTCGACATGTGTTTGTGCAGGCGTACCGACCAACTCCTGACTGCGCAGATGTCTTTCTTGCTGTTCCCGGTCTTCTGGCAGGTCTATTCTGAAGGTGCTGTTGGCATCGGGACTGGGTCGTGGGTCGCCTTTTGCGAGGAGCAGCGCCATTTGCTGGTTGACACGATCGTCTTCTGTGTACACGGCGTCGGGTGGTGGGTTAGAGGGCGAGCGCATGGCGGTGGGGTACATGTTGGGGATGAAGTTGCTGTAGTAGGATTGCTCGGACCAGAGGTTTGCGCGCGTGTCTGTCTGGCGTTTGGACTTTACTATTCGGCGGTATGTCCAGAGGAGGAGAGAGCTGTAGAGGAGGGTGCCAGCGGCGCTGGTTACGGTGCCGCTGATGGCGGCATTGCCCCAGTGATAGTTGTGGGATGAGAGGAAGTTGTAGGCTATGGAAATCAGGCCGAGGGCGGAGGAGGTGAGTGCGGGGCTATGCATGTGTTAGTATTGCGCTGGTGGTGCAGGCGTAGAGGTCTTACAGAAAGACAGCTTCAGCTTGGAAGCGCTCATTGCGACAAGCGAAGCAGAGCAGCGCCGTGAATGAATAGCCGGCAGTGAGGAGTGCGACAACAAAGACAGACAGAACTGCTTCGCTGAACCTAAGCTTGGGATCGTTCGCGTAGAGGCCGGGCAGGATGAGGTAGCTGCGATGTGTTAGCCTGCTCTCATCTGAAGTGCCTCGAGAGGCATGACGGGCACCCACCCTCCCAATATCATCCATGACGCCGCCAGGGCTATGAGGCGCCAGTACCACGGCGTGCCCTCTCTCCTCTCGCTGCCCGCGTCGTTGATGTTGACATAGCTCTTGTTGCTAGAGCGCATTGAGTCGGTGGTTCGCGCCTTCCGCAGCGGGGTGGTGCCTTGTTCGCGATTCAGGTGGTGGTGCCTGGCCGAGAAGCCGTCGATTCTCGCGCAGTGCCAGCGAGCGATTCAAGAGACGTCGGCATACAGAGCAGAGGAGCGTGATTAAACGAGTGACTGCGACAAGCGTCTCTGCCGTCGAGATTTAGATCGGGATATGAGCCTCACTTGCAGCTGGCTGGCTGTCTGCTATTCAGCCTGACGCGGTGCAGATCGCTTCGGTCCGTCGAGTGCAGTGGAGCCGAGGCGAGGCGGCTGGTGCACGGCGCAATGGTTTCCAGAGAGGGGAACAGCAACAACAACGAGCGACGAGAACAAGATGCAGTTTGGGTCGAATATGAAGCAGGCGAGGTGAACAGTAGAAAGTCGAGAGACACGGGCTGAACGGGCGGTGGAAGAAGAGGGCGCCAACGTGCTCGTACTTCGCTGAGGCGGAGGACGCCTGCATACTCGCTCAGCCACTCGACGTCCTGCTGAGCATTGCTGCCACCCCTGCGACATGCTCCCTGTTGATCAACATGGCCGTGAGCATCTCCAACGCGTCTTGTCGAGCATCGCGATTGCAGTCACATACTGATCAGCAATTTCGGGCTTCCATGACCAACATCGTGCATCATCCCACGCCTTCTGCCATCACCATGAAGCATCGTATCCACGATGCTGTCCCGCATCCCTTTGTCTCTCTGGTCTGCCCAGGGCGACCCCGGATTCCAGAACGCGTCACCACCAATTCCAGGCCAAGCCTTTTGCCCATGTCTGCTCAATCTCGCTGACCGCGCCGCACCTTGGGTGGTGCAGCTTACTCTGAGAGCCACCGCTCCCATCCCCTCTGCCAATGTCTATCATTCACTCTCCCGTCGTAGCGCTATCGACTTCGTGTTCTCGGTAGACGCAGTTGCCGGTCAGACATGACGTCGTAGCCACCATTGACCTCTTGAATGCACTGCCTGGCGTACGTAGGACCTAGCGCTACATCGCGGCATGGCACAGCATCACAAGCCACGAAAACGTTATTCTACGCCGATAGGGTATGGTATGAACCGGCCGTTCAGCCTCATCCGAATTCTAAATCATCGCGACCAACTGATGCAACTGGGCGTAAACACTACTTTTCTTAGCAAACACCTTGTGCGCGCTCACGGCTGTCGAGGTTTGCGCTCGTCCATCGATGCCATGTTGCGACAAGAGGTCTGCGTTTTCAACTCTGACGTTTTCAGACACATGGACCGCGCATTTTCTGATCAGCGACCTCTCTCGCCATACAAGCATATGTACGGACGACATAGCGGTGTCTGTCAACAATGCGATCCGCGCGCCTGGTTCACGTTGCAGGGAATGCTTCCAGTGCCTCGCACATGTGTGTCATCCGCACAACCACACCGCATCTTACTTTACACACCCGCCGCCATCATCTTTCACCCTGCGACCTTGCTTCTTAGAAATTCGGTGTCGCCTTCTCCGGAGTGTCTCTGATGAAGTTCGTTGGCGCGATCCATCCAGGGTACGACACAGATACTTTGTCGGGTATACCGAGACTTTCCCAGTACGAGAACCAGAACACCGAATGAAGCTGTCGCCGAACTTGTGGCCGTTGCTTCAAGCGCTCACCTCGTGTACTATGCTGAGTGTCCTAAGTGTTCGCAGACGCCGAGAGTTGATGGCTAAAGATGCCGGCGCCACCGGTTCGATCTATGCCCCACCAACAACCGAGCCCGAGATTCGCTTCCAACACTGATGACCCTTTGAATAAGCACTACCACTGTTTGCAGCAACACGGCTATGGATAGATTTCAACTAATTTTCCATTTCTACATCGATCAGCTACTCAGCCTTCTAGGTTGGTCAATCTTCAGTAGTATAGTGGTCAGTATTTCCGCTTGTCACCATCACTGGCAACTCGCGGGAGACCGGGGTTCAATTCCCCGCTGGAGAGTTTCCTTTTGCCAATCTTTTTGTCTGTTTCCATCATTGTTTTGTTCTGCAGATTTTTTTGACTTCGATAGTGGACGCTCCGATTCACAGGTCACAGCGGCGGTCTCATTGGCCAGAGTGATGAGGTAATCACCCGTTACGTACTAGTGTTCCACCAGCAAGGGTCTGCGGGACCGTGCATGGAACATCAAAATCTCGAGGGACGCCTCTAACAAAGTCGCAGAGCAGGGCGTCTCGATAATGCTAGGAATCATTTCAGATTTTAGACGCCATACGGAACGCCACGACGCTTTAGTTTTTGAGTGCTGTTTTCGAGTGAACCTGGAACATCCTCACACTCTATCAATGCTTGTGATTGTAATTACGCACGCCGTACAAAGGGTAGCAGGGCGACGATACGACTTGCATCCTACGATCTAGACATAAAATGACCCGGCGAAACACACAACCGAATACACAAACACTATCGCAGTCACATGGTCGGTAGGTCTTCCCATATTCGTCCTCTGTGGGCGGGAGTATTCCTCCTTCGGGTATCGTACGCCACGTTTCTCATCCAGTTGCAATGCCTCGTCGGCGGTGACTTCGTTCGGTGGCCAGATCAGGTAATGTACCGGAATCCAACAGCTGGCCAGCTGTCCGAGCCACCACACCGGCGGCCATCCGATCCTGGTAAGCAGAAATACCCATCGATCATGGCCTGAGAGAACGACCTCAGCCGCCGAGTACGCAGTGCTGATTTGATCTGCCGGGTCGAAGCAACGTACAATGTTAAGTACCACACCGAGGATGCAAGCCAGAATGAAGCAGACGTGTATCCAGACCATCTGTTGGAAGAGTATCGCACGTAAGCGGCTGAAAAAGCCCGAAGGCCTCGGCCCACGTTCTTTGATCTCCAGAGAGAGGCTTCCACTCGGCGTGAATCCAGGCTTTGTCCCACCGAAGCGTGTCGGAAGTACCATACCGCGAACAAGAGAAAGCGTATAGTACGGAATAAGCCAAACGTCGGCTTGATCCCAGCGCATCGCGTCCCGATACCCAACAAACAACGCCAGACTCATCTTGTGCGCCGTATCAGCAAAAATCCAAATGCAGACGAGTCGCAGAAGCCAAGCGAGTTGCCAGCGCTCGTAGTAGACTACGAAAGGATAGCCAGCTAGTAGTGCAAGTGGAAGACCGATGTAACCCAACCAGTTAAGTGCGCTGTTCACCACAGATCCTGCACCAAAAACGTAGCCGGCGAGGCGTTGGCGGGCGTTACAGAAGGGGACAGTCGGGCCCCAAAGGCGAAAGTTGATCTCGAAACGGTCAGCCTTTATTGCAAGGTATCGAGAAAGAGTATTACCTTGAACGCTGTTTGAACATTCCCAATGGTCCATCTCGTCCGCTGTTTGATATGACCAGACAGAGTATCCGGCATCTCACCGCATTGCAAATACTCATCGATATAAGCTACTGACCAGCCTTTCCCGAGGAGCATGGAGCTACAAGCAGTGTCCTCACTGATCGAGTATGTAGGAAAGCCACCAATGTCCTCTATTGCTTCCCTGCGCGCCAGATACCCGGACCCAACGCAATCGCCTGCGCCGAGCCCATCATGGATAAGCTCCGTCATGGCATAGAAGTAATCGAGATCCTGTCGCACTGGATCGTCGAGCGGAATGTTCCAAAAGTACTGTGGCGGGCATGCCATCCCCATCTTGGGATCGTTGAGAAGATGTGGCATCATGGCGCGTAGCCAATTTGGTTGGACTATCATGTCGACGTCCAAGCCTGCGACGAATGGCGAGGGGAAGTCTGTGAGCTTTGCGCTAAACTTCAGCCCGTTATTGAGATTGCCCGCTTTCTGGTTCTCAAGTAAGCAAAAGTGTCTATTAGAAGAGGTAGTCAACGTACATAATCCGGCACCTCTGGCTTCTCACGACTCGTATAGTGTGCGTGTGGATACTGCCGCGATACATGTAACATCCTTTCTTCCAGATCCCTCGACCGACCATCATCACACAAGATGACATTGAGGCGATTCAATGGCCAATTTGTCTCGCATGCAGCCCTGACAACATTGAGAATGGTGTCGTTATCCTCCCCACACGCGGTAATGAGTACAGCTACCGCTGGGACATCATCGCCTTCAAGATGAAGCTTTTGTCTTCTGGGTCGCCGCAAGACAAAAACACGGTTGAAATAAAGTAGAATGGTAGGAAGGTATTGGAACAACTCAACGACAATGAAGAACCAGGCTAAACCTAGCTGGTATTTTCCAACTACTTGCGTGTAAGCAAGACAATAAACCCGAAAACAGATGTAGGCCAGCAAGCAAAATGGCGCTAGGAGGCCTGTAGCAGACACAAGGGGCCAGAGGGAATCTGGCGCGACAGCCATGTTATGAGTTGGAGTGAAGGACGATACGACAAGAAAGGCGTGAGTAATATCTTATAGCTGACGACGCGACTTCTAGCATCTCTTTGAGCCTACATCACGTCGGAGATAGCAGCGATGTAACCATCTTTTGCACTAATTGGTGGGATGCGCTGTGGTTACCGGGTACCTTTCCATCGAGCGTCGCAGTAAAAGAGACGGGAAGATCGCCGGCGCGCATCGCATCTTCAATCATGGCGGGAAGCAGATCCACCACGTGGTGAGCTTGCACGGCAGGGCAAAGCCGTAACAAGCGGGCACAGCACGTGCAAAACCACTGCAAAAAGAATACACGCTTGCATCTATCATACGCCAGCTACTCATGATTTCCAAGAAGCCGAACACCAGTATTCGCTACGTACGAATAAGAGGACACAAACCTCTATCAGAAATTTTATTGCTTCTTCCAAGAACCACACTTTTCCTACAACCGCTTTTGCTTTTAGGCTTGTAACAAAATCTCCTTTGACGTACTTATCTGACGTATCCAGCCAGCATCTCACTAACACTTGCCTAATGGGGCAGCTATACATCAACAGCCAACCGCATTTTCAACAAATCCCCCTTAATAATCTCCCCTTTCTTCTTTTCCAACTCCTCCATGTCCCAGCACGCACTAACATACCTTCCACTCAACCACTCCCTTCTCTCACTTCCTAACCAAGCCAATGTGTCCGCTCCCAATTCTGGTGTATCAACAAGCCATTCATGCATATGCCCCGGCATTTTCAAAGCAAGTTCTGTTTGCACGCCGCCAGGATGCACAGCAATAGCTACCATGCCGTCTTTCCCCTCACCATGGTCCTGGGCAATGAACTCTGTGAGGCGCAAAGAAGCTAGTTTCGCTGGTCCGTAGGATGAACTTTGCGGAACGATCATGAGAGCGCCGATGGATGTAAGGTTTATGATGATTTTGGAGCCAGCGAGGAGTAGAGACCAACATGCGCGGGTCACGAGATAAGGGCCTTTAACACTGACCTCGTAGTCGCTCCACCAGGCTTCCGGGTCAGATTCTGGAATGCCGGCGAAGGGCGTGAGACTTCCTGCATTGTTGATAAGAACATCAAGTCTTCCATCAAACTTCTCGGCCACTTCTTTCACTGCAGCATCTACGCTGTCTTTACTGGTGACATCGAGGCTCAAGGCCAAGACATGTGGTTGCGAATGACCTGCGTCTTTGGCTGCAGATTGAACTTCCAAGACGACGTCGGATAGCGAGGATCGCGCGCCGAGGGCTATGCAGGATGCACCTGCTCTTGCGTAGCTGATGGCCGTGGCGCGGCCGACGCCTTTGGAAGCACCAGTGATGAGAACATGTTTTCCCGAAAGGTTGGAATTGGTAGGGTTGATGTAAGAGTATGTGTCGTGACGCTCAGTCGGCGTGAATTTCATGCCTGGTGCCTCTTGGTAAGTTTGTTCGTAGAGAAGTACGGTGGGATTGAAGTACCATTCGAGGCGTGCTTTTCGCCAGAGTCATTAGACATGATGGTGCTTTGTTTTTGAGGGACAGAGTACAAGCCCTTGCAGATATCTGAGTAATAAATTCAATGATGGGGAAATAGCATTTGCAAAGGCGTGGTTGGTAATGTGAGGCGGGCCGTGGCATGACGTAACGCGGATCCACATCCGGTATGGTAAACGTCCGGTACTAGGATCACGGCAGTATACAAGTGGCCTATCGAAAATATATGTTCGGCAATGGCAACACAACGTGAGATTCATAGCTCCAATATGGGTGGGAAATCGTGAACTGAATTGAAATTACTCTTATATACCATGCGCTTACTTGCCCAACGCTAATATCCTCTCCACTGCTCTCTCTGCCGCAATCATAACACCCATGACCGGGTTGGTAGTAAGAGGCGGCACAATACTTGCATCGATCACGAACAGGTTCTGCATACCAATCACCTTCGTGTTCGCATCAACACATGATTCCATCCTGCAACTGCTGCTCCAATGCTGCACATTGCCACGAGTATAAGCACTTGGCGTGGTCAACCAGGTTGAAATCTGCTCAAGCGTGGAGTTTTTCGCAATGTTGAGTGGTGTGAGGGTATGAGGAAGAGCTTGGAAGATGTTGTGAACGAATGTGGCGATTGCTGCTGCGTCGCGGGGGTCGGAGTAGAAATTTGAGTTCGGAAGGGCGATACCCCTGGCGTCCAAGTTCACTCGACCGACAGATCGGAGACCAGAGGTACCGTAGACGTTGAGTGTGATGGTACCGTTTTCCAAAAGGTCCATCGCACCAGCAGAGTCAATAGTGCCTTGGCAACCCACTACATCATCGCCCTGCTCGATGTAATCCCAAAACGCGCTCGTTTGAGAAGCAAATGTATAGGGTCCTGAGCGGTTGTTGAGATACAGCTCAACGTCAGACGGCGGTGGGTTTGAGTAGCTATAGCTGTATGACGCGATTTCGTCGGAATACAGCTCGATAAAGGTGTTTGGGTTGTCGAAGACGCCATTGCCGACAGCGGTATTGTTGATCCACTCTTGAGAAGGAACGGTGACGTGACCATTTTTAGAGAGGTTCTTCAAAGTCTCTGCTTCGCCTATACCCGACCACATCAACAGTTGAGGACTGAGAAGTGCGCCGGCGGAAGAGATGACCATTCCGCCCTTCTTGATGCAGATACTGTGTGAACTGGATGCACCATTGGTCTGAACGTCGACACCGGTTGCTACACCGCCATCTCGACGGACGCGCAACACCTTGGTGCCAGTCTGGAAAGAGAAGTTCGTTCTGTTCAGCGCAGATTGAAGATACGTCTTCACTGGCCCGCTCCTTTGGCCATTCTCATAGTACCAGATGGGATGTCCGAACACCTTCGTCTTGTTATGGTTCTCGATACCGTCATTCAGGCCAACATCCGCATACCCTGCGCCATCAACAAGCCATCGCTTCGCAGCCTCGTAGCCGCTCTGCAGATACCGCTTGCCGTCCTGCGATGGGCTGTCTGTACTCGGCTGTTTTGTCCTGACCTTTTTAATCGCGGATTGCATGTCGGCGTCCTTCCAGCCATCTGGGAAATAGCGGTTCCAATCACTCGCGGGCGGCTGGAAGAACAGTCCAGCGTTGATTGCGGAGTTACCACCGACAGTGCATCCTTGGAAAGCGTTGACCACATCTGATGCGCAGGTCAGGTTGCCCTCACCCGAGTTCGAGAAGATTGATTTGTACAGTCCCGGCACATCAACTCGGCTGAGTTCAGTCCCGTTCAACCATTCCGGGCGAGCACGACCGCCGGTTACGTAGTACGATGGGCCACCTTGCTCTAGGAGTAGAGTCTTCTTGCCAGCTTCGCTCATACGGTCTGCTGTGACGATACCTGCTGGACCAGAACCTGGAGATATTAACCTTGGAGTCGGGCCGTGGATGCAGATGCGAACTTACCGACGACAATGACGTCCCATTCACCACCAGCACAAGTCTCTGCCGCAGCATAGCTGGTGAGAACAGCCACTGGCAACAAAGTCTTCAACATATAAGATGCTACCATGATGCCGTTCGGAATCTGGGGATTAGAGGTGCTTTGGTCACAGTTCGAGAGGCTGTGGCTCCTGACCGCTAGCAGGCTGAAGGGCTTGCTTTAAGCACCTCATCTCACCTCGATCATCTAGCATGTACGCTTACTTTAGCCGCCAATTCTAAAGCACGGTGATGTACAAGTACCACCATACTAAGCAAATTTGCATGTTGAAGCTGGAAGCCGACATCACCGAACACGAAGAGGTATGACGCCGCTTACGAGATGGTACGTGCGTGGTGCTAGCCCATCGCCCAGACGCGGGCACTTTCCCTCATCGCACGCGCTACAGGGGCTTGGATCGTACGCCGGTCGATACCAGTGGGGAATTTGAAAATCGGAGCGTTGGTGCTGCGGCTGCGTGGCGGTCGTTGCATGGTTATTTTGGGATTTAGGGCGAGCTGGAGATGTGGCGATGAGGGGTCGGGTACCAAACCTAAGCGGAAGGCGCGGCTGAAGTTGCGACTTTGCGTCAGTCACCCAGTTCTCAACCAGAGTACTTTGTTTTTAGATTCCTCCTAGGCTTCACAGCAAAGATGACGGAGTTATGTGGGAAAGCTTGAGAAGCTTGTTGCGCGATGTTACGGAACTTGCCCGCTCGGGCCGCCTGGGAGCACCGGTAGTGGACTCTTCGTATGAGGCAAGGGTTTTGAAGTGGCACGCGCACGGCGTCGCCACATGAACTGGAACACTGGAGGCTCAAGAATAGTACCGACACATTACCGGTACCGTTTTTCTCTTCTGGCTTGATCATCGTCAAGACCAGTCACTGTGGCATTAAGCTGTTCAACAATAAGTTTACAACGTACCTCGCAGGTTCGCCAGACACCTAGCTTCGTTAAACACTCTACTAAGGCCTGTTGTGAAGGCTATCCTTAGACGACCTAGGGATTGTTTCTCGAGAACGAGTGAATGTGATGGACATGAGTGTTGTACTAACGCGATTGGTACGTCGATGTAATAGCACGGGGTTTTGAGAATCAAGTACTAATCCTTAGATTGAACACAAAGTTGAGTACAGTGAGCTATAGGAGCTCATTGCCTAACACTACATACTAATGAGTACCTTCCTAATCAGTGCTGCTTGTTTGTGCCAAGAGCACTGAGCACTAGGTAGTCATACAGTTTGCTCGGTGTTGCTCAATCATGCCAGCATTGGGCGATCACCTGACTGTTGACAGCCACCGGGTCAATGTCTTTGGACACCCCGATGACTCGCGAACCTCATGGTTTCGGATTTCTCCGTCTGATTGCGACAGGTCGCTAGTGCAACAGGCGATACGGTACGCAACTTGATAATAGAAAGCATTTAGTGAGACAAGACGAAAAGATTTGGCGTGGCAAAAGACGAAGTATCATATCACTACCTCAAAGAGAGAAACTGAACATCTCTTTAGAGCAAAGCACTTATACCTACTACAATAAAGCCTGCTAAGACCTTCTTAGACATAGATAAGGAATCTAGAAGTCTACAATACTATTAATCTTTCTAGAATTTCTTCTTAGAAGCTAAGGTAGGCGGTAAGCTAGGGCATGTTGTTCCATACTCGTTTGATTTTTCTATTGTATACGGTGATATCTTCATACTCAGCCTTTTCTTAGATGTTCTTATCCCACTAGCTTAACAGTAAAACTTCTAAGGCTTCCAGCTGCTATATAAGCTTCTATCCTCTCTTGGAAGTCCACAGGTCCAGAGCCCCATGGTGCGTTCTTCGCAACAAAAGTCTTGTCATCCATCGATTCCGTCTGCAAAGCAGCGCCCTCGAGAGTGTACCAACCCGGCGTGCACTGCAGTAGCGCACCAAAAAATGCTGCTCTCTTCGCGACCTCGTTGCTCCATTCTTCTGCTCCCTCTTCTGAAGCCTCAACAACCACCTTTTGTCCTGGTTCTGCTTGCTCATAGGCTTTCTTGATGACGTGCGCAATCAATTTCGCATCGACCTCAAGCATGGATGTGAAGTTGTATGAGGAACCACTTCCTCGCCCGAGGCGACCCAGGAGATTCGGAAACTTAGGCATCGCCACGCCAAACAAAACATTGCTGTCTTCTTCTTTCCAGTAGTCGGATACAGATACGCCGTTTCGCCCCAGTAGAAGGCCATCTATCTTCTCAGCAGGATCTAAAAAGTTGGTGACTACGAAGCCGGTTGCCAAGACGACGACATCGATTTCGTACTCATTACCCTCGAATATGATGCCGTTCTCTGAGAATTCGTCGAGACCTCTTCCATTGGTATCGATTAGTGTCACGTTTGGTTTATTGAAGGACTGAAGATAGTCGTCGTTGAACGCTGGACGTTTGCACCAACTGCCGTACCAAGGCTTCAACTTCTCTGCGACTTCCTTGTTCTCGACTTCTTTTTCCACGTGTTTCCGCAAGAATTCGGTGCGAGGGTAGTCTATCTCATGAAGCGCTTTGATATGGTCCAGCATCTGATCGGAAGTGACAGTCATATCTCGCGATCCAAGGAATCCGCAAAGGGCCGGGGCCTGAGTCCAACCATCCTGGATCAAATCGGGTCCTTGTCCACTCGTGCTGTTCGACATGTATGCGTTCAGATTGGTCCTGCGCTTATGCTGCCACCCCTTCTCACCTGCAACGTTTTCCCATTCCTTCTCCACAGTCGATTTTTGGTTGCGTGGTCCAACGTACGTTGGCGTTCTCTGAATGACGTACACATGAGCAGCCCATTCGGCTAACTCAGGAACAACCTGGACAGCTGTTGCGCCAATTCCCACAACAGCAACACGCTTTCCCTTTAGATTTGTTAGGTCTGGCTTCGACTGAGACCCGCCTGTGTAGTTGTAGTCCCAACGGGATGTATGGAATGCATGTTTATGCTCGCTAAACACCTTCCAACCAGGAAGCTTTGGGATCTTGGGAAAAGCAAGAAATCCTGCGGCAACGAAAACGAAGTCGGCGTATACAGTAAGGCTTTCTGACTCTGGGGTTTTTCCTGTAGTACGCGTCATCCTTACGGTCCAGTGTTTCAGGTCGTCATCCCAAACTTGAGAGTCGACCTTTGTACAAAATTGACCTGACATTCCGTAATGGGACGCAGCTCGCTCGATCTGATTCCTTATCTCAGCACCATAGGAGTATTTATGCTTCGGCATATACCCTGTTTCTTCGAGAAAGGGGAGATAACAGTAGCCTTCAACATCGCACATCAGTCCTGGATAGCGATTCCAGTACCTTCCATGATCAACGTTTGAATAAGCCTAAACGGAGAGAATGTGACCTACCAAGTACCACCAAATCTCCCGGCGACGTCAACGAGGACAATGTCTTTGCTGCTGAATCCCGCCTCAATCAATCGGCCTGCGTAATGGAGACCGTTCAGACCAGCGCCGGTGATAAGAAACTTGATACTATCGCCATCTTTAAGCGGAGGGTTTGTAATGCGAGGATCATTTTAATCCACCCATGGATCTTTAGCAAGATTGCGCAACTCCTGTTCTCGAAAATTGGCATACTGTGCCAAGCCATCTTTCTTGAGACGCTTGTCACGTTCTTTCTCGTATCATTCAAACAACGCCTGTCCGGCCGCCATCTGTTCGTTACCTGCTGAGACGTGTGATTGGGTCATTTCGGCACGGCCTGATCGACGAACACAACCAGTTACTTGCGTGGATGGTTAAGATAAAGATCTATGGTGTAGCTTTTGGATGTTTCGTTTGTGAAGGAGAATAACCTAATGTCGGACAACGCTCCAACTTTATATAGATTATATAACAAGAAATTATAGTGCTATTCTCTAGGCATCCCAAAGATCGGCCCGAGCCGTGAGCAATGCATGTTTGCAATGCCTTGCTTATTGGAGCTGATTAGATATTGGGAGAACTACATTCTGGTTGTTTGTACATAGATTTATAAGCCAACCGGACGGTTTATTCGTGACAGTAGATACAACTCAGTTTGAGCTGACGAACGAAGCTTTATTTTGATTATGACTAGGTTGACAAAAATCTAGTTATGAGTCTCATCCATCAGTTCGACTGTTGCCTTGTGAAATAAAGCGCACATCTTAACGTATCTCTTCAAGACTATACCTTCATCTAGCTAGTCCAATGTATTTCGCCTACTGAATTCGTAGATGGATATCATGACTGCCTCGTTGGCGCACTTGTAGTTAGAGGCAAGTGGAAACGAAACAAAAGCATAGATATTACAGCTTGGCATAAGTAACGGCCGTAAGCTAGTCCAATTACTGTAGAGAATGTCTCTAGGTTTTGACGGACGAAAACTCTGGATTACTCAACAGCATATGTAAGCGGAAGTATGGAATGAATTGGCAGGATACCTGGACGAATAACGTTTGCATTCTGAAGACACTTGAGTTAAGTGTAGTAGTAATTTTCGCACCAGAATAGTAATAAGTTTCTTGCCAATTTTTACTTCGCACTAATGGTTCTATCCACCATGTATTCTTAGTTAATGTCACGGTGTTCCAAAGCTATAGGCGGGTGGGCTACCAAAGTCCCTCTAGGCTCCTGTTGGATTGAATTGGCTACGATTACGTGCTATAGATATATCATCCTTACCAGACTCTTGATAGTACCTCAGGAGTCATCTTAATAAGAGTTAATACTAAAATGTCAGTGCCTGCCCAAATACTCTTCACATGCAATCATTAAGAATAGGCTGTAGCGAGCAGTCTTGCTCTTCACACGCGTCTACATACTCAAGAATGAATATTATCCATGAAGGCTAAAGAGTCTCTTATGTCTTTTTATCTTTAAGGTCTATCTATTATGCACATGAGAAGCTAGCCCAGTGCGATTCACCAACCACACTCTACTACCTTGAAGCTGTGTCCTGAGCTCTATCTGCTGATCCAGAAAGCTCTTAATTGTATCCTGCATGTTTCTGAACTTGAGGCCCATAATTTCCTGTGCTCTCTGCGTGTGCATCTTGGGTGGCTGGTCGAACGGCCTTTCCGGCTTAATACCAAGAGCTGAATAAGTATGCCTAGCAAAGTTCGCAACACTACCCCATGTCCATCAGTCTTCCGGGCTACCACTAGGATAAACTTCTCGACTTCGCTAGTGGGCCCGGCTTTGGCATCCAGAGCTTTGAGATGTGCGCAAGCAACATTGCGGACGTCAACTACGACCATGCATATGAGGGGCCTGGGCTAACGCAGGTGATTTAAATAACGGCAACAAAGAACGTATGAACATGAAAACCCATTGTCGGCGGCAGGAAATACGATATGATGAATTGCAAGAAGAGGGTAAAAGAGTTGGAGACATTCAAGGCCAAGCACGCCGAGCATTGTCAGGCAGTGACGTTGAAGCTAGGTCTATGTGCTTGAGGTTATGGGTAGGATGCAATGGAGTGAGAGAAATCACCCTGTATGAATATCAGGGGCTAAGCTGACAGATCTGCATTGATGTTTTTTTTTGACGAGAAAGACTTAATCAGAATCCACCGAGACCATCGTCGCTGTCTTCGTAATCATAAGACCAGTCACGATCCGCGCCTCTCTCCTCCCGCTTCTGTGATATCCCCGCCAAAGCCCTCCATTCTTGTTCTTCCACCACTTTACCTAATCCTATGGAGAGCTGTAAATCATCCGCCTCGTCATCGTCAATTAAATGGTAGCTCCAAATGTAGTCCACATCCGAAATACAATGCGGCTCATTGACAGCACCTACACGGCACCTAACTTTCAGCAGCTGTACCGCGAGGATTGTCTCCGAAGGTTCTGATTTGGTAGGCGAAGAAGGTGAGGCCATGTTAGATGCCGAATCTACCCGTCGAAATGGAAGGTGGAGTTGTGGTTGCGGGGTTGAAGCTGCCTCGGTTATGGGTCCGTGTGGCATAGCCGCACGCTTATGACAAGGAGATTTGGATGTTTGAAGTCCGGTGACGAAGTAAATTGGCTTCTGTTGTTGTGACATCTTGCGGAGGAAGGCTTGTGTTGTGGGCTCATGACGCAGGTTGTCGAAAACCTGCGATGGTTCATCGATAGTAACATGAGTTGTGGCGTGAGCGTCTTCGTCTTTCGACTGGGTTGATAATTGTCGTGAATCAGGGGATTTGTGGAGCTTCAGAGAGCTGGAAGAAGGATTCAGAGGATTGGTGAGGAGTTGTCCGAGCGTGACGGACTCTGATGGCAAAGGTGCTGGGAGGCTGAGTAGACGAGACATGTTCGATGTTGATCTGTGTTTAGATGGGAAGCAGTCTTTGCAACGATATAAAACTTCAGGAAACGGTACTCAAGACAAAGGTGAGGGAATAAAAATGGTCAAGGATGACGACTGGGTCGGCCCGGCTGCGAAGATATATCTTGAAGTTGTGGACTTAGCTCACCGTTTACCAATTACGCAATAGCAAGCATGATGATGCTGGTGCGTTGGCCGACCATACCTCTGCTTGATGCTGGGTTTATGTGACGATTGTCATTCGTTGTTAGACTGTCGGTCATACGGGAGGTGATGATCGGCCTCGTTGCGAGCATATAGCTCGGTTACCAAAGGGTTATGAGACCTGGAGCTCGCTCCACAAAGGGTTTTGTTACTTAATTGGCTGATAAAGCCCGCAGACTCGCGAATGCGTTACTAAAGGTGCGACCGGATTTGTGGTCTGATGGGGATCGGCTGACTTGTTCCTGAGCTGTTCGCAAACCCTGATCCGACCTCGGGAGGTTAGGCGATATGCATCAACGGGAAGACGCGGAGCCGCATGGCAAACTCTTGTCTACTTCTTCAGAGACTGCTGTGCAAGTACACCACCCTGCTCAGATGCCTTGAATGAAGAGGGACATGTTGAGGAGAGCTAGGTGCATCCCGGGCGTCGGTTCAAGCGCTGAATTCTCGATGCGACGTGGAGTCGGCCAGCACCGGACAAAGGGATGCTAGCTAGCACGTTGGGAGTGCGTTATCAACATGCGAGAGATAACATACGACTGAGATTGAGATTGCAGACAATGTATCGTGGGAGCCGCTGCCTCGGGACAAGGCACACGATCAGGAGGGGTATGTTGTCATGTGAAGTGGCGTCGTGGCGGCGTGGCGCGTGTCGCGTGGCTGGGCAAACAAGATCGACGCCCTTTGACGTGACGTTGGTCATTGTCATTAAGAGCGTCGCGCTTGCCGTCATTACACCGTTGCGACTACACTTGACCGTCTCTCGTCCGTTGGAGATGATGGAGAAATGAAGCTGGGCCGCGTAGGTGGGATGGATAGGCATGGCTGTCGCTGCTTCCGGCAGCGGGCGGAAAGCTGACACTGCCACACTACGGAGCAGCAAGTACCGCAGACATGGCAGGCCAACCTCGGGGCCACTTTTGCAGCCCATACACCTATCTTCTATTATTACAGCCAGATTGCCATGGCAGAGACGTCTGCAGCCTCTACTACACATGCACGTCGCCAGAGTGCCCTTGCCGACATCCAATTCGCATCTATCGTTGACGATGACCTCACACCGTCCGAGGACGAATCGCCCGAGGAAAGGGCGTTCGAGCTCGAGACAGCACAGTCAGCAATTGGAGTCAGCATAGGAAGGCAGCAGACGCGTCTGACTTCGCCCAAAACGCCGGCAGCGGAAAAGGCTGCAGCCCTCGATGAGACCGAAGATGGCGCCTTTTTCGACGGCTGGCAAGAAGCCACCGATTCGACGCCGGAACTGAAAAAAGCGATACCAGCCACCGAGCCCACCGGACATGTACAAACGGCTGATGTGAGGCCGAAACCGACGCAAACATCGAGCAATGACGACCGCGAGCGACAATCCGACCCTCGAACGAGACTGCCCTCGCCCTGGCGAGCAGGCCCCAAGACATTTCAGAAGGACAAGGCAGGCGACCACCGATCCATACTCCGCGATCACCTACAGAGCGGGCGGCGACGGGCATCGTCAAGTGGCTCCATGGGGGATACGATGCGCAAATTCATGCCCTTCAGCCTTCCCACGTCCATCACCAAGACCTACAAGGACCTCCACTTTTCCCTCCCGAGTTTGTCAGCATTGTCGCTCGATTCTGAGAAGCCGCGCACCTTTGACCGACGGAGGAGAGACACGTTTGCTAGCGGTGTATCACCTCGGGACATACCACAGCGAGACGGCGCCAATCACTCCACACCGGGAGAGTCCAGGAGCGCATCAAGGAATCTCGTTGAGGTGCCACAACAACCCAGTACCGCCCCAATTCCTCAGCGCGAGTTTAGCGACGACAGCACTTCCACCATCGCCCCATCGCCCCAGATATTGAGCGAACGACCGACGCCCAAGTTACGGCGGTCCAATTCCGAGGGTTCCTTGCTCGTATACCGCACACGATCTTTTGCATCTTCTCTCGGCGACGACACGCGCTTCGAAAGTGTCCAAGAGCAGGTCAACAGTAGGCTGAAGGCCCTTCGAGACAGCTGGGCAGACTCCAATTTCAAACTGCCTAGCCCCTCATTTCCAAACTTCAACTTAGCGTCTAGTACCGAAATGTTCAGGAACCGCAACGCCAGTACCACATCCAAACCACGCGAGACCGACGATATTGCCTCGCAAAAAGCCAACCCCCGCACAAGCGTGCCTGCACCGGGCTCGCGTCGCGACTCGATAAGGAGGAAGCGTTTACCATCAAAGGGTGGAGACGCCGACACTGAGTCGCATCCGTACTTCACACAAGCTCTGCAGGAGCTCGAGGGTGACTTGGTCATCCTGGGAGGTTATCGGGGGTCCGTCCTGCGCTCGGCAGAACCGCCCCATCGGCAGCTTTGGGTGCCTATAAAAGTCGGACTGAACCTACGTAAAGTAGACTTGGAGGTGCCTCTAGATCCAGATGCGGACGAGCGCATGGAGGAGAGCATCATACCAAGTGGCATGCTGACCCATATTGGCCCTGTCGACATCGCCAAGCGTCTTTTCAAGCGTCTGAATGCCTGTGACAACGTAAGAGACGGTAAGCTTAGGGTCCACAACTACGGTTATGACTGGCGGCTCTCCCCGCACTTCCTGAGCCGGCGTATGATACAGTTTCTAGAGTCACTACCCTGCAATCAGCCAGGTGTTCCTCTTGAGAAGCGAGGTGCCATCGTTGTCGCGCACTCACTGGGAGGCTTGATCACACGTCATGTTATCAATCAGCGTCCGGATCTAGTAGCTGGTGTCGTATATGCTGGTGTGCCTCAACGCTGCGTGAATATCCTTGGCCCATTCCGTAATGGCGACGACGTCCTCTTTTCTTCACGCGTGCTCACAGCACAAGTAAACTTCAGTATCAGAACGTCTTTCGCTCTTCTGCCTCTAGACGGAAAGTGCTTCATCAACAAGCGCACCAAGGAAGAGTACCCTGTAGACTTTTTTGACGTTAATACATGGAAAGAACACCGCCTTTCTCCGTGCATAGCAGCGCCCTTGCCTCGCCCTGAGCAACCTAAAGATAGCAACTTCAGCGTTAGTGGCCTGATGAATGCTGTCTCCTCAGCACTGCCCACCTTTCCCGCTCGCAAAAGTAGTACTGCGAGGGATGCCGCCGACGTAGCTCGTAACGCCGCCAACAACGTTACAGAAGGAAGCGTGGAGCAAGCAGGCATGGGCCCGCAAATGGGCCATGAACATAACATCGAGACATCCAAAGAACCGAACCCCGCAACCGACGTCACAATTCCTTACGACAAAGCAATACATTATCTTACAAGAACACTCGCCGAAATCAAGGCTTTCAAACAGGAACTCGACCACCGACCCGAACACACATCATCAAACTCGTATCCACCCATCGCGCTCATCTACGGCAAGTCCACGCCGACAGTCTACGGCGCGAAGGTAGAGAGTCGGGAAGCTATCAAACGCGCGGATGTATATGATGAGCTTGCATTTGCGAGTGGTGACGGTGTTGTACTCGCTCGTGCAGCCATGGTGCCTAAGGGGTACAGTGTCGTTAGAGGCGGTGTCGTATCTAGCGACCGTGGGCACGTTACGCTTTTGGGGGATTTAGAAGCTGTAGGGCGGTGTCTTCATGCTGTTATTTTGGCGAGGCGGAGCGGGGTCGGACTAGGACCTGGAGCGCGATGAGAATCTGTGGACGTCTCCATATTTTACCTACAATTCACAAGCTTCGATCAACCCAGCTGTGCGCTATTCATTGTTCTTTTCTAGGCTACAAAGTTTCACAATTTCCGGCTATTTCATCACTTTGGGGGCATCAGACTAATCAAAGTGAATTGTGAAGCGGGTCAGCCACAACATAACTGTTTCGATATTGTGGCGACAAAGTGTTCCTGAGCGTCCGTAGACAGATCTGAGTGACCTGGAAATCCTACATGAGCTAGAAGCTGTACGGAAATAATTGCACGGACTCAGGTGCAGCAAAGAACGCAATCGGAATAGCGTTTGTTCTGTTGTGCTTCCATCGGCCCTTCTCTCGGTATTATTCACCCGGTTATGGAGATTCGTGTTGTCATCGGTCAGCGTACGTGAGGCCGGAGCGGCTATAGGCGACGAATCGGTACGGGCCATAGTGGCATTCGGAGGTTGAGTTCGATCGAAGTCGTATTTCGATGATAGGCATGTGCCACCGTGTGGGCACCTATCCCTATCTGGCCAACCGTTTATGGAACATCGTCTCGCGTCTTTCCCATTTGAACCCTGGGTCAACTTCAACACTGAAGCTTTGAGATGGCCCTAAATTGGCGAAGGTCTGTGATAATCTTGCTCTGCTGTTGGCTACTACAGAAGTCTGAAGCGACTGCAACTTGACTTTATTTGTAGACTGGGTACAGATTACGTTGGAAGGTATCGCTATGAACACATCTATAGATTAGTGCTCGATATCGTTTTCTCCTGTATAAATGAGAAGCGTCGAATATACTTCCTAGGTTCAGATGATCTTGGTGTTGGGTACATTCGATTGCACAATATTTGTCGTGAGTACTCTGAGGAGTGATGAACGTAGGATCAAGTTTGAAGCAACGAACGGATCATTCTCGCAACGACGAGAACCGACTACAAGAGATGGCGGCGCCTTGCCGTGAGTGCTTATGCTCATGCCCATGACATAGAGTGGTAATATTGGTGATGACGCTCCAGGGGAGGCATTGTTGAGCCACGATTTCCATTATGTCTGTGTAACTACAAACCCACGGAATAGCAAGAATCTATTGTCAAGAAGCAGCTGTTTTCCTACGAGAGGGCATAAAAGAGGTGTCATTTGAGCGTGCCCTCTCGCCACAGATTTACACAGTCTGGTCCGGACATCGTGCCATGCATGCATGGAAACGCTACGGAACTCCGTAGCGTCCTGAGGCGTGGATGCTATGTGACGAGACGTGAACAGGAGTGCACATCAGCCGGTGGGATTGACCTCCATGTGCCCAGCTGGTTTGTGGCGTCGAAAGAAGTCCTTCCAATTGTGGGTTAGTAGCCTTGGCGTGGTCAGCCTAGCTGGTACCGTACCCTGGTACTCCGCTAATCTCGTTGGGAACCTCCGTTTCCTCCATCGTCTTCGATCATGTCGCCAATCGCTCCATCTACTCCATCTGGTTCCAAGTAGCAGCAGCAGCCCTAACTGAGATCATTTCCATCCAAGTCAGGTTTGCTGCAGCGAAGCGAGGTTTCGGGCTCAGATTCTCTACGAAGTCGCGATCCTCCATCTAAGCGCGCGTATGCAGCTCTGACCATCACATCACATCACCATCCCATTCAACTGGGCGGTCAAGCGATGACACGCAGCGGGGATAAAAGTATGCTGTCGGGGATGCGGCACCAAAAAACACGTTTCTGGATCCCGGTGACTCCGGTAAGTCCAACAGCGCGGGGGGCATGGAAGGTCATGGTTTCGGTTACAGTTCAGGAATCATAACCCTGCACTCAAGGCTGTGGCGCCTTGTCGGCGAGTCGTGGCTGTTCGCTGAAAGTCAGTGACTGAGTCTCCCAGCACAAAACTTGGACATTTTCTCGATTCCGCAGGCACGTATACACGCCAACCTTTAGCGCTATTCCGAAAGGACCTCTTACTCTGATGCTACAGTACCAAGCATCCTTTTCTCCGGTACCGACTCTGAACTAGTCTTCTGATACCCAGCTACTGCTCAGGATTGACAGCGCAATATCACCCTCAACAATTTCAAATCGCTACCACAGCGGAACCCTGTTCTATCGACGGACAGCCCGATCACGCTTTCCTTCAAAAACACGCCATATCATCGCTTACGATTAAGGCATGCTTTGCTTGGCAAGAGCCCCTTCGGGAGGTATGGTGGAACGAGGCCTTACCACAACCAGGGCCCAGCTGCATCATACTAATCACTCCTCCAGGGTCTTGAGTTCGAGTAATTCCCGTTAGCGTCGAACGGGAATATCGTCTTACCAGGGATGCAACGATTGGCGGTTCAGTTGCAGTCTCTTGTCATGCATGGTGAGTCCTACGAAGACTTTTCGTACACACACTTCAGATCCAAAGTTTCCTACACACGTGATACGCCGGTTCATGCGTGGCGTCAAGTGACCAATTACGGGATTGCCGCTTCTTTCGAAAGCCAATCCAAGAGCCGCGCCTCCATGAATTGCCTGCGCCTGCGCAGCTGTCAATGGCTGGCAACACATGGTCTCCTCGAAACCAGACCGTTCGAGCCACTCGACAAACTGCTTCTGCTACAAATGCGGGTACTTCACAACATATCCTGCATCCCCCAATTGGAGAGCCTGCCGGAAGTCTCCATACTCGCGACACGCGCTTCCCCCACAGACCAGTTCTTCATGTTCGCTCGATATTGCCATCTTGGTACTGGCCCCCGCGATACGGCTGCCAGCGTCAATAGCCATGCCTAAGGGTCTGTTCCTCCCGCACTCATAGTCTATGTAGTTTGACCAGCACGCCACACTCTAGTAGCCTCCGACGGTCATACTTTAGAAGGACCACATTCACGACCTAACTGAACTCAGTCAGTCCGATGCTTCCATAGCATACGCCACAGGTCTTGATCTATGTCGTGGCTCAAGGGGAAAGCGGCCAGTAGGTAGCTTGATTGGCCTCTACAGCTTGAGATTCAACCAAAAGTGGCTCGTAACACGTTGATCGACTGCTGACTCGGATCGATCTTCGCCACGATGGGGAACCCCCAACCGTGCCGTTACCGCTCGCATCGTTTCGTCAACTTATGCGAGATAGCGATGATTTCAACTAAATTAGCAGTGTGGTAGAGACGTTAGAGCTCACTTAACATGTCGCCGCCACGTCAAGGTGCGATCACAATGATCCAAACTGTACAATCTTTTGTATGAATTGTTTCCAAGTTCATACCCTACGCCACCAGAGCACTTATGGCTCTGTGGCTACCCTTCTGGTTCGAATGGATTCGCGAGTTCCACATATTCTGAAAACCCAACGTGCTTCTGATTGCAATCAGTAATCACCATTTGGGCTAAAGTGCTGGCATGAGAAACCCACCAGCACTGCAATCTGAATGGCTGGTCACTGATACGATGACCACTAAAGTCGAGTATTACAGTGACTATTGGTTTCTGACATCATCTATGATATGTATAGTTGCAAATAGCATGTGTGGCTGTAGTAGGGGCCTTTGAAACAAGTTGAACGCAGCATCAAAGAGCTTGGGTTGAGCACGGCCTTCGATATGCAAGAAGCTTGGCTTCATCTTCCCTGGTGCTTAAGCGACAACGGTGCATCCTGCTGCAGCCGGTAGGTGGCTGTCATACCCAAAACTACTGTCCTAGTCACAAGTCTTCTCCATTCCTCAATGCCCAGTTTGGTTAGCCGTACACAACATCCACACCCTGGCGGTCGAACCATCCTTGCCACACGTCAAAGCACAGGACTGACTAGGTTAGTAGCTGTCCCACGTAACAACGGCTGAGCAGACGCCATCAAGCAGACGCGCCGTATACACATTGAGACCCTAATCAGACAGATCGTCGCGACCCACAGAAATGTTAGGCCCCTACCGCTTGTTCGGGAGAATGTATGAGACGTCGACCAGAGACTACCTCGGTTGCAAGTATCTGCTTGAGAGACGGCCGAAACAACGGCATTGCAAATGAAAGTAGTGTATGAGCAGCGTCAGTAGGCACATAGGAGCCAGGGTACATGCTTGCAAAACTGCCATCGCCTAACAAAGCCAGATCTGTCCATGACCCGAGTATTTGGCTACGCCGCATATCAACATTCACCCATGTCGTTCGAGCCGCCTGTTGTTTGTTCGCGGTCAGGCTATGCATGCAGCCAAAGCGGCATGCATGCCTGGCATCGAGTATGCCAAGTCGCTCAGGTACCAAGCTGCTGGATCTTTCGATCATTAGCATTCTTTCGTGTGCTGGTGGGCCCTACTGACATGCTCCTCGGAAGATGTGGCATGGTCTTTGGCTCATTATTGCATCTGATCTATATTAAATGGATATGCTCCTGTCAGTGTAACAATCAACTCCAGATCTCAGATCTAGCAAGTCTTGTGATATAGAATATCCTCTTGTTCATACGCTCCTATCTAAGTGTGTGTATCGTACACACAGTTTGTTTGCCTACCTGACGCCTACGATCCTCGCTGGTTGACACTCAGTGCCACTTCACCATGATGGAACAACGACGAGTACAATCTTTCACCTCTAGTCCCCACCAATACGTGGTGGACTATGCTGGCTCACACCATCTTTCGAGATGTGACTCGCATGAACCCTTGACTTCAAAGCCTAGTCACGGATCGTTCGACGAACGATCATATGCCCATCATTGCGCTCAAGAACCCATAACTACAAGGTCATTAAGCGCCTCATTAGATGCCTTTGATCCTTGGGTACTTGTGGAACCGCCTTGCGGTAGCCCTCTATCGACAAGCTCGTCAATCAGTCATACTGAGAGCGTGCCCACTCCGCCTTATACCGGTATGGCTATGTACAACCAAGCGGACTCGCCAGCTTACCAACACATCCGTTCCCTAACCGGCCATGACGCTTGGTCAGGAGAGCCAGAACCCGTCTGGAGGCCTAGCTACCCCGATATGATCACGCCCATTCATACAAACCAACATCCTGGAGCTCCCCTCTCATGTTCTCCGCCACTTTCATCTTCGACAGCTTCGTTTGGATGCAGATCTTCAACACCTTCAACAACAGGCGCCTCGTGGGGCTCGCAAGAATACTCATTGCCCTACCAAGACGATCCAACTTGCAACCAACTGCATCTGCAACCGCTGCAAGGTTACATCCCCCAAGCTGGCCCTTCAGCGGGAACAACATACATGCCGTATCCTGCATCAGTTCGCTACTCAGCTGTTGGGAATGTTGACTCGGCATCATACAAGCAAGAGTTGGCCAAGGATTCTGAAAACAGTGAAATGGACACTGACTCGGAACCTGAAGACTCTGAAAGCGACGATGATGACTCATCGCAACAATCCTTCCATTCTACCTCTCGGGGTTCTGGGGCAAATTCCAGTGTTATGAAGCTGGGGAAGTGGAGTACTATGCCATGCTCGTTCCCAACTGCCTCGGAACCAAGGCCCTACGTATGTCATTTGGAGGATAAGGATCATCCCGGCAACCCATGCCCGAAGAGATTTGTACGCCCAGAACATCTTCGACGCCACGTCAGAACTGTCCATAGTGCTGTGAGAAATCACGGTTGTAAAGTGTGTCCCAGGCATTTCTCGAGGGGAGATAATCTTCGAGATCATTACTGGACACATCTGCAACGAGGTGGAAGGAATGGCAAGAATGATAAGATGAGCTTGCCCGAGCTGAAGGCCTTTCTCGGTCCGAAGGAGAAGCTGCTTGTGAAGCGTCTCAAGGCGAAGCTACACAACACTCAGATAAAGCAAACGAAGTCAAAGCCTTGAGTGGGAGCAGCTTCAATCAGGACAATCCAGACATGGTTGCTTGTTCAAATGTTGTATATCGATTTTTTATGGTATCTGGCGCTGGGGAGGCAAGTCATCAACGTGCTTCGGCATGCTTCTGTACCATCTGCTTTCGTGACGTGTTGTTTATAGATTACTTTGGTACGTGCACCTACCTGAATGGCAATAGAATATTAAAGAAAATCCTACTTTTACGCAAATGTTCTAAATTCTCTGAATATCGCGCGTGAGAAAATGAGACCGGAAGTCCGTAACGCAAGTTTGGCTGTGGTCGTCTGCTAACGGCGAGAACTAGCATAACGTCGTTAGCTCATTATCACTCGTTACTCGGCGTCCAGTACCGAGGTGGAGTCCTTCTCGCATGGCGATCCGCAAAGGCCATGACAATATGACCCGACTACACGCTAATGCATGAAGGTAGGCACAACTTTCGGGATCGAACATGCATGGAAGGCACGTACATCGGTCAGAAGATCAGATACGGCCAATCACTTGTCTTCGCAGGAAAAAATTTGGGGGTCACCCACACCAATTACACAAAGCCTCGAGGGCAAGGTGAAGCGAACGCCCGGTTCGCTAATTCTTGTGAGGGGTATGTTGGTGTTGGCTGGCTGTTGCAGCCCATGAGTGGGTGCACCAAAGCGTACATTGCATGGTAGCTAAGATTATAACCTGGGGAGAGCAACGTTTCAAAGCCTCAAAGGAAGCTGAGTAGTCTATCTAGAAGCTGGAATCCTGCGCACTGACCATGAATACAGGATGACCTTCCAATGAGGGTGTGTTAGATGCGAACGTCAGTGTCGGAATATTGCACGATTACAGATGCCCAGATGCGATCTGACGATGGAGGAATACCAATCGAGACTGTAGGCTCTACACCGATATTGTTTTGTCCCGCATCCGGCAAAGCGAGATTGTGATCGATTCGGATCTGCATCCCACCAGCCTCGACCTTGAGAATGCGTTGGGAGGGCAGATCCACCAGCACATACCATCGTCAGATCTACGAGCGAATTTGTGGTCAAGGAAGAAGAACAATCTATCATTCGCGGGTTGGAAGCCGGTTCGGGTGGACGTATGGGAGGCCATAACAGCTTTCCGCGCGCCGCAGCGCTTAAACAAGCCAACAGGAGAGTGGCACAGCAAGCCAGTATCCGGCGCAGCAACCTTTCTCAGATTAGAACCCGAGGACTCACCCGCATTAAACGCCTATTCTGATCGCGGCTTGAAATCCTACGCCAACTAATTTGGTCCTAGAGTACTTGGGTTCGCTTTGCCTTGTCTTTCTAGGTTGCGCTCGTAGGAACGGTAACAAGGTATCGAGGCTAACGATGATATCAGTGTTTTCATGATATGAGACTCTCAGACATGGGAATCTCGGGCCAGGGAGCTTTCCAAGAACTGGGTGCACAACCCTGCGTAGGTAGAAGCGGTTCGGTAAGAGCGAGAGAAAGGTCTCGATGCCGCACCTCAACCCACAATAGGGAGAATCATAGCTGTAGTCTGACCAGGATTACAGAAACTGACCTCTATGCATACCAAAATAAAGACGCAGAGTCACGACGTCTTACCCAATATAGACGCAAAAGAGGAGCACAGTGACAACGTAACATGGTTGGCAAGCGAGTGAGCCAGGCAAGCGAGTGAGCCACCCCACCAACTTTGCGCACCTCTACACGTGTATATCTCAACCACCTTACAAGATAATATATAGATAATAACAGAGTATACTAA